ATCCTCAAAGCGGGAGGCCGGGGTTTGGATCCGACCTGTGGCTCCTTTACCGCATGTCGTTCCCCACTCTCTCTCTCTCACTGATTTCTGACTCTATTCACTGTCCTATCTCTACAATAAAGGAATCTTGAAAAAATACATTTAAAAAATGAGAGTGTAGGTGCCAAGGCTGAGGGTGGAACCCGGGACTGCTCCACTGAGGGCTGTAGCCTCTGTGCATGAAAAACAGAATTTAATCACTGAGCAAAACAGACGCATAATTCTAGTCTATTCACGCCAGCAGCTCAAAGTTTGCAGCCCGGCTCACCCAAAGCAAGAGCCAAAGAATTGCATTGGTGTTTTCATGAAAAAATTAAAGGGATCTTTTACAGTCATTTAATACTTTGTCTTCAGTCTCATTAAATCCTATGAGAATCGTATCGTGAACCCAGTATCGTGAATCGTACCGTGAATTGAGTGAATTATTACGTCGCTACATCTTACTGATTTGACCTTTACCATCCTCTATAGGTTTTTGTACCTAAACCAAGGAATTATACCTTAGACTTATTATACCTAATTATAAAGGCTTTGGCAACTAGAGCTTGTCACTCAACTAAGGTAAGTATGGGTTCCAATAAGCAGTTTCACAGGCGGTGAAACTTTGGTATTTATATTTCAACAATCCCTGATTTACTGACTTGCAAAACAAACATTTACAAGCAGTGTCGTCATATCAGATCAGGTAACTTACTTTCGACTTTTGCAGTATCGCCTTCAATATTTGCTGTGACGTTTGAACGTATGCAAGTTCCATTCCTGGAGAAAAAGAGTGAGAAGACATGACGAGTTTAAACATCGGATCGGAAATTTGTAGACCATGTTTGAAAAAAACTGTTCATGACTGAAACAAAATAAAAACCAGCATAACAAGGGCACCACAAGAGCTGAATGATGCTTCAACAAGTTGGTGCTCAACAGTCCATCTTAATCCACAAATGTACAGTTAACTTCTAACATTTGAGCTTATTTTAACCCATGGGGGGGGGGGGGGGGGTCACAACATGCCTTCCAGAATAAGTAATGGAAATTCAAATCAGTTAAATTTGTATATTTTACTAATTATTGTAAAAATATATACTAAAAAGCAGTTCAATTTCTAATAAAACTATATGATTAAGTGAAATGCTCGTAAAAATTAATGTGTAAAAATAATTCAAATGTTAGAAAGTCTGTCTCTGCTGCTATTTACACCTAAACATGAACACACCTGTGTGTCTCTTTATTAAAGTTCACATATTCTCCTCTTCATCAACAAGTTTAAATAAGTCTCAGAGCTCCCCAAAACATATCTGTGAAGTGTCTTGTTCTAAATCCACTCTGATCCTGTATTTGATCATGCCTATAAACCCCTCTATTTCAGCCCTGCTCAGAACAGGCTGTTTCTGTGTCTGTACCTTTAAATGTAAATGAGCTTTGAGCAAAGGCATTGTCTATTAGGGGGATTATTTCCTCTGATTATCATGTGGTTTATTTGGGCAGCTGATTTTGCATTTTTAAATACTCACATCTTGTTATGCTGAGCCATGACCAGGTCATTGGGGCTTGATGTGGACATCGAGATGTTCACCCAGGAGCTCTCGGTTAATTTCAGAATGTCGTTTAATATGCCATTGTCAACGTAACCCACGAGGAAGTTCATCCGTCCGTACATCTGCATAAAGTAGACTCAAATATCTGTTATCAATTTAAAAAAGGAATTAAAGACGAAGCTTTATAGGTTTTTTCGGCATTGTCCTATCGTTTTTAGATTATGGTTTGTCTTTGTAAATTTGTTTGTGTATAGTTACTAATATAAACTTTCTATGTACAGACATAACAAATCCTCCAAACAGAACATCATATATATTGATTCTTAAAACTAGATTTTTATACACAGCAGATATTTTCGATAGGTCTTCAAACTTGGGTATTATACGGATGATAGTACCATCCCCTAATGGAAGAATGTCCTTAATAAAGTACAGCACCAAAAGATTTTTTGCATTACTTTCATAATTTAACAGATTTATTTGAACAAGGTAGGCGTAATTATCAGAATCAGAGGGAACACGGTTGTAATAATCTTGACTTGAATTTGACTTGATGCTTTAATCATTCTATGAAGGCTTAGTTTAGATCGCTACACTTGATTGTTTATCCTTGTCACTAGATTGTGGGGCAATCTCGGACTAAGTTGCTGAGTTGTTCAAAGGCTCATGTCCTTTGTAGAAAAACACAGCATAGGGCAGCTGTGGTTCAGTTGGTAGGGTCAGTCGTCCCTCAACTGGAAGGTCTAGGGTTTTATCCCCAGCTCCTGCAACAATATGTCTGATGTGTCCTTGAGCATGAACCTTAACCCCAGTTTGCTCCGGTTGCTTAGGTGGCGGCATATGAATGTGAATGAACTGATTTGTTTCTTCTGATGTTCACTTTACACAGCAGCCTCTACCATCAGTTTGTGAATGTGTAGGTGTGATCTGCGGTGTAAAAGCGCTTTGAGCAGTCAGAAGACTAGAAAAGTGCTGTACAAGCTCAAGTCCATTCACCATTTACCAAAATCCTACCACACAGAAAATGTCTATCTAACATTAAGGGTAATAATGGAAACCAAATATTTTTCATACAATGTCATGCTTTCAACCTTTAAGTTAATGCTAATGCCAAAAACAAATTAGGGCAAGAAGTTCAGGAAAGCTGTAAACCACTTCAAATATTTAATGCAAATGTTTACTTAAAGAGCCAGGCAGGAAGCAGAAGAGGGCTTACCACAGAGGGGTCGGCCATAGACAAAGGCGTGACCAAGGGTTTGCATTCTTCGGGTGTCTGGGCCGAGCTGCTCAGGAACAACCCCACTACCAGAAAGAGACTGCTGAACCACAGATCCATGATGGTTATAGGCTTCAGACCATTCCAGGAAGAAAACAAACACAGTGCCTTTCAGCCTTTAAAGAATGGCACAGTATCAGGTGTTCTGATTTATCAACTGACTCGTCCTTGGCTACCCATGATTCACAAATACACAGAGAATGAAGTCCATCACAGGACTACACTGACCCTGCCAAAACCTACAATGACTCACAAACTCACCTTCTCTTCCAATGCTTTAACATCCAACAGGTCATTGGTCACTGTCCCACATATTCTGCATTCAGGTCATAATTTGCACACTGCAGGATGGTGAGAGCATTTAATAAGCCTGAATGAGGTTACTTTAAAAATGTTCAGAGCAATCTTTTTTGGCCATTTCTGCCATTATCGGATAGGCTTCTTAGTTTAGATTCTGGTCCTTAATGGTCTAGATTTGATGGACCAGAGAAGGTAGGCAGTTTTAAGGCACCCCCATACGGCCATTTTGGATGGCCCTCGGTTTGCCAGATATGAGAGCAGTTATCAGGTCAACAGGTATTGCAGCGATGGAAGCGGGTCAAGAGAAGTGGTTCAGATAGAAGTGATTGTACCCGACCTAAAAAGCCTCTGCATGTTTCTAATAAGCTCCACGAGCAGAAACGTGCTCAAACTAAAATCAATATTTAAGCTGCTTTTGAAAAATGGAGAGAGGTTAGAACACACGGCATGCCCGATCTGAACCCAAGTGGTGTTTTGTTGTTGGACTTCTGTGGTAGTCGTGGATTGACCATTGCAAACACCATGTTCGAACATACGGATGTTCATAGGTGTGTCTGGTACCAGAACATGTTAGGCCAACGATCGATGATCGACTTTGTAGTTGTTTCGTCAGATCTGCGGTAGTATGTTTTGCACACTCGGGGAAAGAGACGAGCAGAGCTGTCAACTGATCACCACTTGGTGGTGAGTTGGATCGGATGGCGGGGAATTTTCTCATCCAGTCCACATGTGTTTTGTGGATTTGGAGAAGGCTTTTGACCGTGTCCTTTGGGAGATCATGTGAGGGGTACTGCGGGAATATGGGTCCCAGGCCGTTGGTATGAGCCATCCGGTCCCTGAATGACCAAAGTGGGAGCTATGTCCGCATCCTCGGCACAAAGTCAGACACGTTCCCGGTGCATGTTGGCCTTCGCACAGAGTTGCCCCTTGTCACTTGTCCTGTTTGTGATCTTCATGGACAGGATCTCAAGGAGCAGCCGGGGGAAGGAAGGTTTCCAGTTTGGGGACCTCCAAGTCTCGTCTCTGCTTTTTGCAGATGATATGGTTTTGTTGGCCTCCTCATGCAGGGACCTCCAGCAGACATTGAGGGGATTTGCAGCAGAGTGCGAAGCGGCTGGGATGAGAGTTAGCACCTCCAAGTCCAAGGTCATGGTTCTCTGCCGGAAAACAGTTGGTTGCTCTCTCCGGGTCGGGAGTGAGTCTTTGCCCCAAGTGAAGGAGTTCAAGTATCTTGGGGTGTTGATCACTAGTGAGGGTAGGATGGAACTTGAGATTGACAGACGGATTGGCTCGGCATCAGCAGTAATGCAGGTGCTGTGCAGGACCAATGTGATAAAGAGGGAGCTGAGCCTGAAATACAAAATGTCCACCGTTATACCTCCTCTGATTCTTTTCCCTGTTAAAGAACATTTTTCATTACCTTTAAATGTAGAAACGCAAGAGGGCAATCCAAGACTAGTCACATTGAATATTTCGATAAATTAGTTTGAAGTGTTCAGATTTCTGTTTCATTCACACATGGTTCCTACAGCAACTGTTAACGTGGTCTGGTGTAGTCTATATGGGAGTACTTTGGACTCTCAGCCCTTTAGACTCTTTCTGTTCACATCAACATGAAAAAAAAATCTATGTCTATCAGGATACTTGCTTCAATAAATTGAAGATTTTTTCAAGGGAGGAAATAATGGTGATTTATTCTTGTTTTTTCACAGAATGATTACATTTCTTATGCTTAACTAAAATTAATTATGCAGGTGGAGCTATGGTTTATTATTTCAGGCAACACTATTAATACATAAACCTTAATATATTCTGCAGTTGTGATTAAGGGTAAAATTATTTCAAGCTCCAGATTAAGGAGCTCTGCCGGCCGTGAGCAGATTGCTATCCTCTTCGGGAGCATCCTCTGTCTCCAGAGCTCTACGCACACTCTGCCAGAACACTCCCGTGTGTTGTCCAGCCTTCGGCCAGCTCAAGTAGGTACGTTTCTTCACCAGCTTCCTCATGCGATAGTACGGAGACAGCTGCTGGGCTGGGATCTCCTCCAGAAACAGCAGAATCAACACGTCCTTCTGCTCGTCAAAGAGTCGGAAGCTGCAACAACACACAATACAGCACAGGTCCAATCCAATACAAATAAATGTATGAAGCACAAATATTAACAGAATTCCTGTAAAGTCAAACACAGATGGACCTGGATAGACAACTTAGTATGTTAGCTTGATGCGAACACATAAAAGTAATAGCCATTCATGAGCTAACAGACTTAGCATTGCAGTCAGTTAAGTTGACTTAAGTACAATTCAATTAAACTTACCAATGTTCCGTAAAAAAATTCATTAGTTAAGTTAGTTTCTTATCATCTCTTCGGTCTGAAGCACTATCGATGGCCAGTAGGCTGAATAAATTTAGCCCTAATGATCAGCAAATCAATGAAGTGGGCCACAACATCTGTCAATCATTTAGACTACTGAAGTAAGCATAGACTGTACGATTTCAGCCCTGTCTAGTCACCATTTTTCATCGTACTACTCATTGTTAAGTCAAGCTAAATGTCAGCCAGTTTGCCCGGCATCGGTCTTGCAGTGTAATTTTTTTCCCAACATACTTTGTTAGTTACACTTTGTAATTGAGAGATATGCCTCTCAAAAACATAATACACAAACAGGAAATGCATTAGTGGAGAGATGTCAGAGTGGGACTGCTACACACTGCTATGCAGGGAGCGCACCAGAGCTGTTGGGGGTTCGGTGCCTTGCTCAAGGGAACCTCTACAGTGATCTGGAAGTGCCCTGGCACCTCTCCAGTTACCAGACCAACTTCCATATTTTGGTCCGCACCAGGACTTAAACCGGCGACCTGCCGGTTGCCAACCCAAGTCTGTCTGCCATCTTGTCTTACTTTGGTAATGTTTTACCCTTGATTATGTATCAATGACGACTGTGTTTCAGCCTTTCCCCACCTGATTGTATCCATTGAGTTATGTTATCGTATGTTTTTTTAAAGAAAGGAGGAACAAAAAGAGGCAGCACCCCCCCACCTGGCCATCTGGAACTCTTTGGAGCACCACTCGCTCTGCAGGTAGTTCCAGCTGATGACACAGATGGTCTTCCTGCTGCTGTAGATGGCGTCCATGATGTTCTCTATGATGGGTTTACCTGCGGACACAACAATTCAGATCCTAAAAGTGAAAGTCCTGGCTCATTTAGTGTGGTCTGAAGTAAACCCAACTCCCTTACAGCTCATTACATGGAGGGGGCACGTATGTGTTTAACTGCAAAAACTGTGAACTCTTCACAGTCCCAATGGAAAGTGGTCCCGGTCCCTGAAACCCTTTTTATTTTTCACAATTCCTGGAAGTGGTCATCAAAGAATCAAAAACTACAAACTGACTAAACCAAGCGTCATTGAGCGTAGAAAATACTGCTTGCCGTCAAATAATGGAAGTGAAACTCTTGTAGCAGCAACAAGTCATTAAGAAAAAAACTGAGTATCACACTTGCTTTAAGCAAAGCTCTTAATGGAAATAAATGGCCCCCAATAGATAGCCCCCAATAAATTAAGGGAAGGGCCATGCAGTGCATGACATTTTAAAATAAATTCTGGTGTGCCCTGAAAGCCAAGTGCAGGGATTGAAGAACAGGGGTGATGTGTTGGCTTTTCTTGTTCTTGGTTAAAGTACATGCAGCAGGATTCTGGAAAAGATATAGTCTAATCTGCTTGTTAAGGAAGCATTAACTTTTTTTAATTACTACAGGCAGACAAAGTGGTTTACCTGGTTGGAAGTCTCTGTGGTGCAGACAGAGCCTCCAGCCCTGCTCTCCCTCCAACGCTGGAAGCATCTCTCTGTAGACCCAGGCCTCATCGTTAACGTTGTAGGAGATGAAGGCATCGTAGAGGTGAGGAAATCCCTTTCTCCTATTCCTGCTGTCATAAAGGAAGGCCAGGAAGAGGCAGCAGGCGTAGACAATCTGCCACCTCAGGAAGTGGTACATGAATGACGTGATGAGAGTTAGCACAACAAGACAAGCGCTGGATATAAAGCACAGGAAGTTGAGTTCCATCTTACAGGACTGAACATCAAAGTCCAACAACTTGGTTCCCTGTTTGCTTGGAGGAAAGTAACAGTCGTACTGGTAGGCGTTGACAACCTGAGTTTGGTTATTGTTCTTCACCCATTCAATGAAGCCAATACTGAGGCAGTCACAAGTTAAAGGGTTACCAGAAAGGTCAAGGTATGTTAGTGCAGGGAGAGACTGGAGGATCGTCTCGTTGATCATTGTCAACTCATTGTCTCTCAGATTCAACCAGATTAGTGCAGACAGGTTGGCCCGGGTCAGAAAATTCAAAGATCGGAGCTTGTTCTTGGGGAGGTCAAGAGCTTGCAGGTTGGTTAACGGCTGAAACAGTTCAGGTTTCAGATTTGTGACATGGCTGTTGGTAATCTGAAGACTAGTCAGACGAGGGGTGTATGTAAAGGTGTCTGTGTGTGGTGTCTCAGTGAAAAATGTCACAGCTGTAAACTCTTCTAAATATTGTAGACCGCAGAGCAAATTCGGTGAGATAACAATGCTCTTTTTATTGCTGTTATAGATTGTAAGACTCGTCAGAAAAGGAAGAAAGACGAAAGGGGGATCTTCATTAAATTGATGGCTCAGGCTGTTCCCAGATGCAGGGAGATACAGTGTCAGATTTTTTAGGTTTGGCATCCCTCTGAAAATGTCTCTGTTGACAGTGTAAGCTGATAAGGCTAGAGTTATAAGATGATGAAGTCCATAAAATGTCCCATTTTCCACACTGCATATCATCAATGATTGTAAATACAAAGCCTGGAGGGACGGCAAAACTTTAAAGTCTCCTTTTCTCAAGCCCTGAAAACCATTCATGTTCATGTTCAAAATGAAGAGTTTCCGCAAACTGACTGTGAAGGTATCATGCATTGTATAAACTGGGTTTGATTCAATATTGAGTTCTGTCAACTCTTTCAGGTCTTTAAAAGCACATCCTCTGAGTACTGAAATGCGATTTCTTTGGAGAAAGAGATTTAACAATGATGTCAGATTCAGAAAGTCAAAGCAACCCAACTCTCCAATATCATTGAAGCTTAAATCTAGGACTATGAGTTTGGAGAGTCCTCTGACGGCAACTGGCACTCTGTGTAGAAAGTTGTTATCTAAGTACAATTCCTCGAGTCGGTTCAATGGTCTGAGTGATTTCTCAGACAAGTTGGTCATGGCATTGCTAGACAAAACTAGCTCAGTGATTTGAGAGCAAGGCTGAAGCAGAGTGGCGTTTAAAGTGTAGATGTTGTTTAAGGTCAAATTAAGTCGTGTTAATGAAGGCATCTGGCAGACAAACTTTATCAGACCAATATTTAACCATTCTTTTATGGAAGAAAGCCAGATGTACTCCACGGCAAAGGCACTCTGAAAAATGGTTCTGTACATTTCAAAGCTTACTTCAGTTCCACTTAAATACAAACCCTTTAAGCTCCTGAGAAAGTTATTTTCCTTTACATCCCACTCAAAGCCGGGCACGCATTTGGACAAATCAAGAAACTCAAGATAGGGGAAGACGTCTTTCGTAACGCTGAACTTTCTCAGTGGATTCCCATTAAACCAAAGAATTTTCAGGCTTGATTTGTTGAACGGCAGGTCATCAGTCTCAAACGAGCTGAACCTGTTCATTCCCGCTACTAGCTCCCTTAAGTTTGGTAGTTGTAAAATAGGCACGATTTCAGTAAGTTGATGAAGCCTGTTATAGCACAGATTCACTTTCTGTAATCTGGTGAGTGGCTGAAAGGCCTTTGGGGAGATGTATTGGATTTGATTTTTTTCCAGAGACAGATTCTCTAATCTGAACAATCCCTGAAACATGTCCTCTGTTACGGTTGTTAAGGTATTAGAACCCAAGAGAAGATCTCTTAAATGTACCAAGTCTTCAAAAGCTCTGTCGTCAATGTGTGACATTGCATTACATTCCATATGTAAATAAAGTAGCTTCGACAATCCCCTTAAGTCGGTTCTGTTCACTGTTAGAATTTGATTTGTGTCTAAATCCAGGGATAGTGTGTTTTCAGGAATGTCATCGGGGATGGAAGTGAGGTCCCGATCTGCACATGTAACAAAAATATCCCAGACATCATAAGAAGGAAATACAGCACAGTTTTTCAGCGAGTAAGCTAGCAAGGGGTTAAGATGAAGCAGGACAGACAGAAGAAAGCTGAAGGAAGTGAGGTGGTGTAGCATGTTGATCTTCAGTTTCAGCCCTGCTGAAGATAACTTCTTTTCTTTCCTAAAAAGGGAACATGATATTTTAGGAGACATGCTGTTCATCAGAGAACCAGGCTTTGTACGTTTGTAATAAACGAAGAGCATTGTGGAAACCAAAGACACATGTGGTTGTGCACCTTTGGCTAATTTATTGTCTCCGATGCTCTCTAAAACATTGTTAACCACTATGCACGGATCCAAAACTTTACTGTGTCAATACTCAAGCCTGGCTCAGACTGCAGGATAATCAGGCCGATTTGAGGTCAGATTCCTCTTTCCCGACAATCAAACAATCGGTCGTTCCTGGGTCAAGGCTGCTCAGAACCAATTATCTTCCCCAGATTATCTTGTAATGTGAGTCGTGTAAAAATCCAATATTAAAGTCCGCGATCCACTCGGAGATCGTTGGGGACAGTTTGATTTATTCCAAACATTTTGATATTTAGAATTTAAAATTTTGACTATAACCTCATTAAAGGGTTTGGCAGAAGTCGTGTGTGACTAATATAACCGCAAGGGACGAGGGAGGACATTAATCAGTGGACAGTAGGGGCGACCAGCAGCAGGACGCAAAACGCACAGGTGTGCCGGACAACTGTATAATATTACAGTTACAATATAACATCCAGCTCTTAAAACCATCTTTGATTATATCCCAATATTTCATCACCCAAAACGTATTCTTTTTTTAAACGTTTTTCACAAAGCATTATAATCACAAATTTAACCACCGGCTCTGTTGTGTGAGGTCACGAGGTGGTACTTTCCTGAGGTGGCATGATTATCTTAATAAAATCATATAGTTTGTGATGAGTCATGATTTTCATATATTGTAGTGTGAGCATGCTGGAGATAACAGAGAAGAAGATCTGTTAAGATTCTCCTGATGTGTGTGATGCTCCCCGATTTTAAAATTTAGAAGCATTTTAAAACTCCTGCAGTATGAGCCCGGCTTTAGACCCAATTCAAGGTTTCATTCTGGCTTCTCTGTTTACTGTTCTTAAACTAACAAACAGCAACTCACAAAATGTAATCCGACACTGATAACAGAACCAGATCATCTTTACTCACCGGACTCCTCTGCAGGTTCAGATGTTTGACCATGGACTGCAGGACTCTTTTTCCTTTTGAAATCATTTATTGAGTGAGTGAGAGGTTTATAATCGTCCTCCTGCTCACACTTAAGGACATGCAGCGAGAGCAGAGTTGCAGAACAGGAATGTAAAAGAGGAACAGTCCTTCGGAGCTGCTTCAGTGCAGTGTTATTTTCATGACTTTATCATTTGTTTAATGTAGAGAAATAGAACTAAAGCAGCAACACGGAGAGCAGGCTCTGGTACACCCAGACACGTTTTTTATTCACAGGTTATTTGTGTGTTCTCACTTTTTAGCCAGTGAAACCCAAGCTGGCTTGGCAAGCAGCAGACTACGCTGAAACAATTCATAGCTTTGAGGCTTGGAGGGCAAAAAGAGCTCAGGAAAGTGTTAATTTTCCATTTAGTACAATTGCCACATGTTAACATCACCTGGAAAGTTCTGCAAAACAGATGTCAAGGAAAACTCTGGGTTTTGGGTTCTACTACCTTAAAATGTTAAAACTATTGGAGAGACAAGGCACCTATGGCTGATCGTTTGGTTCGAACAAGCCATGTTCAGAGGCTGGTGACCTTGAAGCTTGCATCTTGGGTTTGATTCCAACTTGTGGCTCTTTTTCCACAGGTCATTCCCTGCTCTCTATCTCCCCCCGATTTCATACTCTATACACTTTCCTTTCCCTCCAATAAAGGCCCCAAAAGCCCAAAAATAAACCTTAAACAAAAAAAAGCTTGGAAATATAATCCAGAGAAATTCCATTTGCCAAGAAAAAAAGGGTCCATCGCTAGTCTGCCTACCCCCGAGATGTTACACTTCCTTCAGCCTTTTCAACCCTGTCTGTCAATCTATACTGTCAGTAACAGTCAACAAAATGAATTCCTCCTCCTGTCCTCTGGATATCCCCAGCCCACGATTTCTTAAATGACTCTTTAACACATTTTTTCCTTTTATACTGAACTTTTTTGATAGTTCCCTATCCTCTAGCATCATGCCCCAACCCTTATTCAACCCCTGTTGAAGAAACCTGATATACATTCTAATGATTTTAACAATTTCAGACCTATCTCTAAAACTCCTTTTTAGGCCAAAGTCCTGGAGAAAATAGTTGCAAATCAACTATTAGCTTTTATGAAAGAAAAGTTATTGTCAGGTTTTAGAGCTCATCACAGTACAGAAACTTGCTTCTAGCTGCTGATGCTGGTCGTCCTTCCAAAGCGTCATGTAAATCATACTCTGATACATTAGCTCATCGGTAAACATTCTCATCCTCATGTCAGTTTCCCCCGTTGGTCTTGACTACAGTCAACACAGAGATTGTTTTCACCTGGGGGGAGGGAGTAGCAGAGAGAACTCGCATGATTCCCCGCTAGCCTCGATGTCATATTTGGTTTTTTTTTGATCAAGGTCTTTTTATTTTTATTTTTCAAATATATCACGTAAACAACAACAGCACAAACATAGGACAGTCAGAAAGGAAACCTGTCCAATCCCCAGAAACCCGAGCACTGGATCATCAGTAAGCCTGCAGCTAGACAATGACAAGCAGAATAAAGTGACTTATAAACAAATAAATAACAGACAGAAAATAATAAAATACATTAAAAAACAAAAAAGAAAAAAGAAAAAAGGAAAATATTATAAAACAATAAAAAGGTTACATAGTTATGTTATTAGCTGTCATATCTTCAACAAAAGATAAAAATGGTTGCCAAGTGATATAGAATTTCCTGGTGCAACCTCTTATAGTATATCTGATTTTCTCTAAGTGGACAAGAAACATGACCTCCCATATCCATTGGCCATATGTCGGGGGTGCAGAGTCCTTCCATTTAGATAATATTAGTCTTCTGGCCAAAAGGGGACTCCATATTTTGTTATTGTTTTGATTGAGAGCCCCCTGGTGTCTGATTTAACATACTGTGCGTTAAAGTCATACCTTACGGACGGGACTTTTTGTATTGGGATCGTCGAGTCCAGGTCTTCCACCTCTGGGCTGCATTGTGGGGTTCCTCTGGGTTCAGTCCTTGGCCCTTTTCATTTTACTATTTAAATGCTGCCATCTCATGAGATCACATAACATCAGTTTCCACTTTTATGCAGATGAGACCCAGTGGGTATCCTTGCATCCTTGCACTGGCTGTCAGTTAGTTTAGAGTGGATATAAAATTTTACTTATCACTTTTAAAGCCCAGAACGGTTTGGCCCCAAGTTATATTTCTGACTCTTTTACTGCTCATCTACCTTCACAGGCTATAAGGTCCTCAAATGCTGCTCTCCTGGTGGTTCTCAAAGGGCCTGTAGACTGTGGAACAACCTCCCAGAGGAGAATAGGATGGCAAAGACTATTTACTCTTCCAAATCTCTCTTTTAAAATGCACTTTTATAGTCTAGCCTTCCTATGATCCTTTGTTTTTATCCTCCCACTGTATCTGTTTTTATTGTTTTTTCGTATTGTGTTTTATTCGTGTTTCATGTTTTACTGATGTTTTAGTCAGTCTTTATTATTATAATTATTTAGTTGGATTGTTGGTGACCCCCAACTTCACCGTCTTTAAGTAATCTGCGCTTGAGAAAAAAAAAAAGAAGTAATCTGTGCTTGTGAACACTAGAGGGAGCCAGACACCGATGTTTGGTTCAAAGATAATCATGCACTCTGCTGCAGTACAGTTTAATAGTGCACATCAAAGCAGAAGCCTGCTTTTTAAAACACTTTTACAGGATCATCTTTGCTCAGATTCTTTCAACGACAACAAGGCAATATTTGAATACCCTGGTTTATGAAGTGAGGAAAGTTTCAGTTCTTAAAGATTCACTCAGTAAGATTTAGCAAGTGAAATTAAAAAAGTGATCTTCCTATATGATCAGAAACATGCTTTGTTGAAGTGCTGGCTTCTCTGACAACAATGCAGCAGCCAGTATGTCCTCCTTCTTAGTTTAGATTCTGGTCGTGGTCTGGGCCCAGATCAGCAACTGTTAATGTGATCTGGTGTAGTCTACATGGGAGTACTTTGGACTTTCAGCCCTTTAGACTCTTTCTGTTCACATCAACATGAAAAAAAAATCTGTCTCTATCAGGAGACTTGCTTCAGTAAATTGAAGATTTTTTCAAGGGAGGATATAATCGTGTTTTATTCTTGTTTTTTTCACACAATGATTACATTTCTTATGCTTAACTAAAATTAATTATGCAGGTGGATCTATGGTTTATTATTTCAGGCAACACTATTAATACATAAACCTTAATATATTCTGCAGTTGTGATTAAGGGTAAAATTATTTCAAGCTCCAGATTACGGAGCTCTGCCGGCCGTGAGCAGATTGCTATCCTCTTCGGGAGCATCCTCTGTCTCCAGAGCTCTACGCACACTCTGCCAGAACACTCCCGTGTGTTGTCCAGCCTTCGGCCAGCTCAAGTAGGTGCGTTTCTTCACCAGCTTCCTCATGCGATAGTACGGAGACAGCTGCTGGGCTGGGATCTCCTCCAGAAACAGCAGAATCAACACGTCCTTCTGCTCGTCAAAGAGTCGGAAGCTGCAACAACACACAATACAGCACAGGTCCAATCCAATCCAATCCAATCCAAATAAATGTATGAAGCACAAATATTAACAGAATTCCTGTAAAGTCAAACACAGATGGACCTGGATAGACAACTTAGTATGTTAGCTTGATGCGAACACATAAAAGTAATAGCCATTCATGAGCTAACAGACTTAGCATTGCAGTCAGTTAAGTTGACTTAAGTACAATTCAATTAAACTTACCAATGTTCCGTAAAATAGATAAATTCATTAGTTAAGTTAGTTTCTTATCATCTCTTTGGTCTGAAGCACTATCGATGGCCAGTAGGCTGAATAAATTTAGCCCTAATGATCAGCAAATCAATGAAGTGGGCCACAACATCTGTCAATCATTTAGACTACTGAAGTAAGCATAGACTGTACGATTTCAGCCCTGTCTAGTCATCATTTTTCATCGTACAAGTCAAGCTAAATTTCAGCCAGTTCGCCCGGCATCGGTCTTGCAGTGTAATTTTTTTCCCAACATACTTTGTTAGTTACACTTTGTAATTGAGAGATATGCCTCTCAAAAACATAATACACGAACAGGAAATGCATTAGTGGAGAGATGTCAGAGTGGGACTGCTACACAGTACTATGCAGGGAGCGCACCAGAGCTGTTGGGGGTTCGGTGCCTTGCTCAAGGGAACCTCTACAGTGATCTGGAAGTGCCCTGGCACCTCTCCAGTTACCAGACCAACTTCCATATTTTGGTCCGCACCAGGACTTAAACCGGCGACCTGCCGGTTGCCAACCCAAGTCTGTCTGCCATCTTGTCTTACTTTGGTAATGTTTTACCCTTGATTATGTATCAATGACGACTGTGTTTCAGCCTTTCCCCACCTGATTGTATCCATTGAGTTATGTTATCGTATGTTTTTTTAAAGAAAGGAGGAACAAAAAGAGGCAGTACCCCCACCTGGCCATCTGGAACTCTTTGGAGCACCACTCGCTCTGCAGGTAGTTCCGGCTGATGACACAGATGGTCTTCCTGCTGCTGTAGATGGCGTCCATGATGTTCTCTATGATGAGTTTACCTGTGGAAACAACAATTCAGATCCTAAATGTAAAAACCCTGGCTCATTCAGTGTGGTCTGAAGTAAACCCAACTCCCTTACAGCTCATTACATGGAGGGGGCACGTATGTGTTTAACTGCAAAAACTCTGAACTCTTCACAGTCCCAATGGAAAGTGGTCCCGGTCCCTGAAACCCTTTTATTTGAAAAAATTCTTCGAAGTAGTCATCAAAAGATCAGAAACCACAAACTGACTAAACGTCAATGAGCGTAAAAAATACTGCTTGCCGTCAAATAATGGAAGTGAAACTCTTGTAGCAGCAACAAGTCATTAACAATAAAACTGAGTTTCACACTTGCTTTAGGCGAAGCTCTTGAGGGAAATAAATGCCCCCCAAAGAATAACCCCCCATAAAATGGAGGGAAGGGCCATGCAGTGCATGACATTTTAAAATCAATTCTGGTGTGCCTTGGAAGCCAAGTGCAGGGATTGAAGAACAGGGGTGATGTGTTGGCTTTGGGTTAGGGTTGGGGTTAGGGTTGTTCCTGGTTAAAGTATATGCAGTAGGATTCTGTAAAAGATAGAGTCTAATCTGCTTGTTAAGGAAGCATTAACAGACAGACAAAGTGGTTTACCTGGTTGGATGTCTCTGTGTTGCAGACAGAGCCTCCAGCCCTGCTCTCCCTCCAACGCTGGAAGCATTTCGCTGTAGACCCAGGCCTCATCGTTAACGTTGTAGGAGATGAAGGCATCGTAGAGGTGAGGAACTCCCTTTCTCCTATTCCTGCTGTCATAAAGGAAGGCCAGGAAGAGGCAGCAGGCGTAGACAATCTGCCACCTCAGGAAGTGGTACATGAACGACGTGATGAGAGTTAGCACAACAAGACAAGCGCTGGATATAAAGCACAGGAAGTTGAGTTCCATCTTACAGGACTGGACATCAAAGTCCAACAACTTGGTTCCCTGTTTGCTTGGAGGAAAGTAACAGTCGTACTGGTAGGCATTGACAACCTGAGTTTGGTTATTGTTCTTCACCCATTCAATGAAGCCAATACTGAGGCAGTCACAAGTTAAAGGGTTACCAGAAAGGTCAAGGTATGTTAGTGCAGGGAGAGACTGGAGGATCGTCTCGTTGATCATTGTCAACTCATTGTCTCCCAGATTCAACCAGCTAAGTGCAGACAGGTTGGCCCGGGTCAGAAAATTCAAAGATCGGAGCTTGTTCTTGGGGAGGTCGAGAGCTTGCAGGTTGGTTAACGGCTGTAACAGTTCAGGTTTCAGATTTGTGACATGGCTGTTGGTAATCTGAAGACTAGTCAGACGAGGGGTGTATGTAAAGGTGTCTGCGTGTGGTGTCTCAGTGAAAAATGTCACAGCTGCAAACTCTTCTAAATATCGTAGACCGCAGAGCAAATTCGGTGAGATAACAATGCTCTTTTTATTGCTGTTATAGATTGTAAGACTCGTCAGAAAAGGAAGATGGATGAAAGGTGGGTCTTTATTAAAATGATGGCTCAGGCTGTTCCCCAACACAGGGAAATCCAGTGTCAGATATTTAAGGTTTGGCATCCCTCTGAAAATGTCTCTGTTGACAGTGTAAGCTGATAAGGCTAGAGTTTTAAGATGATGAAGTCCATAAAATGTCCCATTTTCCACAAAGCATATCATAACTGATTGTAAAGATAAATCCAGGAGGGAAGGCAAACCCTTAAAGTCTCCTTTTCTCAAGCCCTGAATTTCATTCATGTCCATGTTGAAAATTAAGAGTTTAGGCAAACTGACTGTGAAGGTATCATGCAGTGTACTAATGTAGTTTGATTCAACGTTGAGATGTATCAACTCTTTCAAGTCCTGAAAAGCACATCCTCTGAGTACTAAAATGTGATTATTTTGGAGAAAGAGATTTAACAATGATGTCAGATTCAGAAAGTCGAAGCAACCCAACTCTCCGATATCATTAAAGCTTAAATCTAGGACTATAAGTTTGGAGAGTCCTCTGACGGCAACTGGCACTCTGTGTAGAAAGTTGTTATCTAAGTACAATTCCTCGAGTCGGTTCAATGGTCTGAGTGATTTCTCAGACAAGTTGGTCATGGCATTGCTAGACAAAACTAGCTCAGTGATTTGAGAGCAAGGCTGAAGCAGAGTGGCGTTTAAAGTGTAGATGTTGTTTAAGGTCAAATTAAGTCGTGTTAAAGAAGGCATCTGGCAGACAAACTTTATCAGACCAATATTTAACCATTCTTTTATGGAAGAAAGCCAGATGTACTCCACGGCAAAGGCACTCTGAAAAATGGTTCTGTACATTTCAAAGCTTACTTCAGTTCCACTTAAATACAAACCCTTTAAGCTCCTGAGAAAGTTATTTTCCTTTACATCCCACTCAAAGCCGGGCACGCATTTGGACAAATCAAGAAACTCAAGATAGGGGAAGACGTCTTTCGTAACGCTGAACTTTCTCAGTGGATTCCCGTTAAACCAAAGAATTTTCAGGCTTGATTTGTTGAACGGCAGATCATCAGTCTCAAACGAGCTGAACCTGTTCATTCCCGCTACTAGCTCCCTTAAGTTTGGTAGTTGTAAAATAGGCACGATTTCAATAAGTTGATGAAGCCTGTTATAGCACAGATTCACTTTCTGTAAACTGGTGAGTGGCTGAAAGGCCTTTGGGGAGATGTATTGGATTAGATTTTTTTCCAGAGACAGATTCTCTAATCTGAACAATCCCTGAAACATGTCCTCTGTTACGATTGTTAAGGTATTAGAACCCAAGAGAAGATCTCTTAAATGTACCAAGTCTTCAAAAGCTCTGTCGTCAATGTGTGACATGGAATTATATTCCATAGATAAGTAAAGTAGCTTCGACAATCCCCTTAAATCGGTTCTGTTCACAGTTAGAATTTGATTTGTGTTTAAGTCCAGGAATGTCGCATTTTCAGGAATGTCATCAGGAATGGAAGTGAGGTCCCGATCTGCACATACAACTGAAATATCCCAGACATAAGGAGAATGCGCCACAGCACAGTTTTTCAGCGAGTAAGCCAGCGAGGGGTTAAGATGAAGCAGGACAGACAGAAGAAAGCTGAAGGAAGTGAGGTGGTGTAGCATGTTGATCTTTAGTTTCAGCCCTGCTGAAGATAACTTCTTTGATTTCCTAAAAAGGGAACATGATATTTTAGGAGACAAGCAGTTCATCAGAGCACATACACTCATATTTGCTGCCCTTTGTGTCGTAACAGTTGAAATTTTTGATTTTTGATAAGTTACTAGGAGAGCGACGCCACAACAGGGCACCTTGTTTTTATCCGTAAAGTCAGTTTGAGCCGGAACCAATTGTCTTATCGCGCAGGTGCACTAGACAACTACATCATATGACAGTTACAATCTGACCCACTGACCCACATCACCCAAAATGTATTCTTGTTTTAAACGTTTTTCACAAAGCATTATAATCACAAATTTAACCACCGGCTCTGTTGTGTGAGGTCACGAGGTGGTGCGTTCCTGAGGTGGCACGATTATCTTCGTAAAATCATGTAGTTTGTGATGAGTCATGATTTTCATATATTGTAGTGTGAGCATGCTGGAGATAACAGAGAAGAAGATCTGTTAAGATTCTCCTGATGTGTGTGATGCTCCCCGATTTTAAAATCTAGAAGCATTTCAAAACTCCTGCAGTATGAGCCCGGCTTTAGACCCAATTCAAGGTTTCATTCTGGCTTCTCTGTTTACTGTTCTTAAACTAACAAACAGCAACTCACAAAATGTAATCTGACACTGATAACAGAACCAGATCATCTTTACTCACCGGACTCCTCTGCAGGTTCAGATGTTTGACCATGGACTGCAGGACTCTTTTTCCTTTTGAAATCATTTATTGAGTGAGTGAGAGGTTTATAATAGTCCTCCTGTTCACACTTAAGGACATGCAGCTAGAGCAGAGTTGCAGAACAGGAATGTAAAAGAGGAACAGTCCTTCGGAGCTGCTTCAGTGCAGTGTTATTTTCATGACTTTATCATTTGTTTAATGTAGAGAAATAGAACTAAAGCAGCAACACGGAGAGCAGGCTCTGGTACACCCAGACACGTTTTTTATTCACAGGTTATTTGTGTGTTCTCACTTTTTAGCCAGTGAAACCCAAGCTGGCTTGGCAAGCAGCAGACTACGCTGAAACAATTCATAGCTTTGAGGCTTGGAGGGCAAAAAGAGCTCAGGAAAGTGTTAATTTTCCATTTAGTACAATTGCCACATGTTAACATCACCTGGAAAGTTCTGCAAAACAGATGTCAAGGAAAACTCTGGGTTTTGGGTTCTACTACCTTAAAGTGTTAAAACTATTGGAGAGACAAGGCGCCTATGGCTGATTGTTTGGTTCGAACAAGCCATGTTCAGAGGCTGGTGACCTTGAAGCTTGCATCTTGGGTTTGATTCCCTGCTCTCTATCTCCCCCCAATTTCATACTCTATACACTTTCCTTTCCCTCCAATAAAGGCCCAAAAAGCCCAAAGATAAACCTTAAAAAAAAAAAAAACTTAGGAAATATAATCCAGAGAAATTCCATTTGCCAAGAAAAAAAGGGTCCACCGCTAGTCTGCCTACCCCCGAGATGTTACACTTCGCCTTTTCAACCCTGTCTGTCAATCTATACTGTCAGTAACAGTCAACAAAATGAATTCCTCCTCCTGTCCTCTGGATATCTCCAGCCCAAGATTTCTTAAATTACTTTTTAACACATGTTTTCCTTTTATACTGAACTTTTTTGATAGTTCCCTATCCTCTAGCATCATGCCCCAACCCTTATTCAACCCCTGTTGAAGAAACCTGATATACATTCTAATGATTTTAACAATTTAGAGACCTATCTCTAAAACTCCTTTTTTGGCCAAAGTCCTGGAGAAAATAGTTGCAAATCAACTATTAGCTTTTATGAAAGAAAAGTTATTGTCAGGTTTTAGAGCTCATCACAGTACAGAAACTTGCTTCTAGCTGCTGATGCTGGTCGTCCTTCCAAAGCGTCATGTAAATCATACTCTGATACATTAGCTCATCGGTAAACATTCTCTTCCTCAGGTCGGTTTCCCCCGTTGGTCTTGACTACAGTCAACACAGAGATTGTTTTTACCTGGGGGGAGGGAGTAGCAGAGAGAACTCCCATGATTCCCCGCTAGCCTCGACGTCATATTTTGCTATTGTTTTGATTGAGAGCCCCCTGGTGTCTGATTTAACATACTGTGCGTTAAAGTCATACCTTACGGACAGGACTTTCTGTGTTGGGATTGTTGAATCCAGGTCTTCCACCTCTAGGCTGCATTGTGGGGTTCCTCAGGGTTCAGTCCTTGGCCCAATTCATTTTACTATTTAAATGCTGCCATCTCATGAGATCACATAACATCAGTTTCCACTTTTATGCAGATGAGACCCAGTGGGTATCCTTGCATCCTTGCACTGGCTGTCAGTTAGTTTAGAGTGGATTTAAACATTTTACTTATCACTTTTAAAGCCCAGAACAGTTTGGCCCCAAGTTATATTTCTGACTCTTTTACTGCTCATCTACCGTCACAGGCTATAAGGTCCTCAAATGCTGCTCTCCTGGTGGTTCCAAAGTCCCGATAAAAAAACAGAGGTGACAGAGAGTTTGCCACCAGGGCCCGTAGACTGTGGAACAACCTCCCAGAGGAGATTAGGATGGCAAAGACTTCCTCTTTCAAATCTCTTCTTAAAATACACTTTTATAGTCTAGCCTTCCTATGATGTTAGATGTTAGTCTATCTTCCTGTTGTTTTATCCTGTAAAGCACTCTGTAAACCTTTTTTTGGAAAAGTTTTTTATTATAATTATTTAGTTGGATTGTTGGTAACCCCCAACTTACCATCTTTAGGCAATCTGTGCCTGTGAACACTAGAGGGAGCCAAAGTTCATATAAACACCTATTTTTGGTTCAAAGGTAATCATGCACTCTGCTGCAGTACAGTTTGATGCCAAAGCAGAAGCCTGCCTTTTAAAACACTTTTACAGGATCATCTTTGCTCAGATTCCTTCAACAGTTTAGATAAAAATTGTTGGAGCTGCAAAACTCAGAAAATCTCCAAACCAACAACAACAAAGCAATATTTGAATACCCTGGTAAATGAAGTGAGGAAAGTTTCAAACAAGGAAGTGGACCGCTATACGACGTCATTCTAAACGGCTCCTGTCACTTCAAAAAGTGTCGTATCCGCACAGCACTGCCTGTTCCCTCCTCTGAGCTGCCCGCTAGATGTGGAAGTAGGAAGAGGGTCGTTGTTGGCGTCTCAGAAATAACAAAAACATCCACAGCTAGCAGGATGGACTCAGTCTGCGAGTGGTTGCCATGGTTACTTCTTCTTCTTTCTGCTGTTTGGCGGATTTGCAAACCAACTGTGTGCATACTGCCACCGGCTGTATCGGACTGTGTTTATACAGTGTACAAGTGTACTCGGGTGCAGAACTGATGTCACTAATGTGAATGCAGACCAGCGGGGGAGGGGGGAGCGATTGTGCTCGGGCACGGTATGAAACAATCTTGCCTAATGTGAAAACGAAAGATAATTTCAAAATGTGTTTCTCAGAAATATTTTCAGAAGTTTACCATGATTGCTAAATATTTGACAAATATAATTGGAAATTCTACCTTTGCTAGCATGAGAAGACCCCTGGTGAATACCGAAAATCTGTTTGGACGCCAAGAGTGGTCAAGATAGAATTTAAAAAATCGACTTTGTTGGGGACTGGTTGGTTAAACACAGACATGCTCTACAGAACTCAACCAGCACTCAGGGGGTTAATACCCTTACTTTCATTTTGAGATTGAGGATTAAGGGATTATTTCCCCTGGTGGTTAAATGCAGGGGGAGAAATGATAATACATTTTTCATGGGCATTAAATTCATTATTCAGCATACGATTTAGAAAACCAGCAGCTACAAGAAATCAAACGTTTTCTCTCTCTCCATCTAATTTTTCTCTTCAGCCTCTTTCTTTTCCAAATCCTAATTAAAGCAGCCCACTGTGAAAGAGTTTAACCTTTAATCCCTCATGTGGGATAATACTGCAGCATCATGCAGTATAACAAAACATGGTCATCTCCGTATTCACCAAAAACTTCATAAGATATTAATTAAGAATGCAGAGAGGAGTGCTGGGGGTTGTAGATCGATCTTGGTCTCAAGACCACTTCAAGGTCTCGGTCTTGCCTTGGAATTCTTGAAATGAAGACCACCACCTGATAGGCTGTCATCACTGTGATAGGATGTAAAATGCCCCTTTTCGAAAACAACATAAAAATTCAATGCAGTTGTAGTTTCATTCCCCAACCAGCCACCACCCCGGGTTACGACCGCAACCTTCCCTGTCCGGGACCGGGATGGAGACGACAAGAGAAGAGGAACCTGCATATCTTAAATCTTAGCAAAACTATTCATCTCATGTTCCTTGTGATGCTTTGAAAATGAAAGTAAGAGACCTTGTTTGTTACTGTCACATTTATTTAAAATCAAACTTTAATTAAAAAGAGCACTTTTTTATTATGTTCAATCTCGTGATGGTTTTTGTCTGATATTTATGGTCTTGCTCTTGTCTCGGTCTGGATCCGTTTAAGGCAATACCAGCGACTTTCTGATCCAGTAGATGTGGCACTTCCATACTGAAGCCTCCGCTCTCCTCCAGAGACGCACCTCCAACACCCCTCCCCTCGCGTTTGTACAAAGGCATTGGGACCCACCATAATTAAGCACAAGCGACAGACAAAATTGTCCTTGTCTTGAGCTGCAATCACCTGTGTCCTGCATTGTTGTGTTAGCATGCTGATGTTAGCGCTCTTTAGTTAGCTCGTAGCTTCACATTTCATGTAAACTGACACAGAATGAGCGTGATCTAAAAACTCTTACTAACATCCAAATAATCAGTGAGTATGTTCTTCTTCTTCTCTCTAGTTCTTGACTAAAACAGCTTTTATACACAAGGGGAGGAGCCGGCCGTCCCGTCCATGTAAACACGGCTCTGACAACAACACAGCCAGCGGGACTCGAGCTTCTCCCTCACTGTAGACAGTCAGGACTCAGAGACACATTTACACAGGAGAGACTGGATT